TGGTAGGATGAGTAGAGTATAGGACCGCTTGGTGATTTTTATATGTAAACGATAAAAATACCTTTTGGATATATTGACTAGTTTCTGTCGCTTCCTCTTCTACTTTTCTTGCTTCTCGCAGCAACTTTTCAGCGCACACGCTCGGTCTAATTCATATAACGATAACAGAACACAAAAGTGATCCACTTGGTGACTTATCGGCACGCAATAACGTTATTATATTTATATTACATCTCTTTACGGAGTGGTCGACGTTAAAAACGTAGGGTCTACCGCGGCTACCTTCGCGGTAAGAAATGCATGCATACAGAATAACAAGTTTTGCAACTGGGAACACTCCAATTCCTGTTGAAATATATGTAAATCATAAATACACATCTCCTTATACATATATGTAAAAAAACAATTGAAAGGTTTAATGCAATTGATTTTTAATCTATTTATTTTTTTCAGGAATTTAATTTATTCTTAATTAAAAGATTGTATTTCTTCTCAATTTTCAAAAATGATTTGAACTATCATATTGCAATAAATCTTTCAATATCTTTCAAAAAATCATCAAAAAATTTGTCTACCTTCGTTTCGATAGCGATGCTGTCCGGTTCTTGGAAGTGCAATTTAAGCCTGCTTTTACCGTCGTCGCTAGATCCTCTTAATTGAGAGAACTTGTAACGCCATGCGATCTCACCGATTCCTTCGTAAGATAACGTAAATCCTTGAGTCCATTCTAACGTTAGACCCGCGCTTCTACTATTGAAAGTTACCGGAAAGGTTTTACTCTGCAACGAAGAAAGAAAAATGTGAAAGAATGATGACACTGAAAATATTTCAGAAATGTTTGCACATCATGACAGACCTTTAAATGCGTAACAGCCGAACATATCGCGGTATGCCATGCCGCTTCGACCCGCAGGAGTTCTTGTCTGGTCTCGACGCTCAAATAACGCGGTGGTTTTCCTGGACTCTGCGCCAGGAAGCAATGCTGCCGTTCATCCACGTTCTCTGATTCGCGCATCACGCGGAACATCGTCTGGTACACTTTGAAAGTTAGCGCGCAACGTGACCAGTCGCCTATATTGCACTGAAAACAACGCGATAAGAGCGATTCAATTCGTAATGATACGATCATACAACAAACCGTTGATTTTAAAGGACTAAAATTGATAAAATGCACAAACTGACATTTACCGGGGGTGTCTCGAACAATAATAGATCCGGTCCTTTTAAAGCCAAGAATCTCGGTCTATAACTCTGCCACGGTTGATTGCTGTTGCTTACTGCCTCGTTCACCCAGCCCATATATTCTATGCGTTCGCCGACTCCGAAATTGCGATTATACAACTTCATCTAAAATCAAAATTACAGATAATCATTAAGCGACTGAAATATTATATATAAAAACAGCGATTATAATCGATCGTTCTATTTAAATCACCTGCAAATGCGTCAATCCTGTGATGTTATCAGTTATATATTTCAACCATTGACTGAGAATAGCACTATCGTCGCAGTGTATCACTCCTGTACGCGCCCCATTAAGTCCCCTCACTTCGAATGCGTTTCTTCTCAGTTTGTCGGTGCCAAATATATACCTTGTTACATACGCCATCATTAATGGAACTGGAAAATAGTTAATATTATATATCAAAAACTCCTATTTTCATATCTGAACAGCTAGCTGCTTTGTATTCTTAGTCTTAAAAATTGATTAGTCTTAGCAATCTTTTCTTTTTATATTGAAATATCCGATGTATATAAATAATATATCCGATAATATAAAAATAAACAAAGCTCAGAATTCTAGACGAGTACATATAATGCGAAATGCGGAAACTAAAGACATAGAAGGGATTAGATTTTAAATATTCATACTTGAGTGAACGCAGAGCTACCTGTTATTACATCCACCCATCTTTTATACTGCATCGAACTAGAAGATGCATTGGAACTTTGTCGGCTATGGCTGCATCTGGGGCTACCTTGTCTGTTAGGCGATATCCATCCGTCTTCCGCCGTACCATTGGCAACGTTATCCAGCTTCTCTTCTTTCTCTGTTGATAAATATTAAAACGTCAACGTATGAAACGCGTACACTATCATTGTTGTCTATTAGTTTTGCGCTAAAGTAGAATATCGCAATACCGTTCTTCTGCAGAAATGGCTTGGCTGCTCGATAATGCTTGACTGTTAGAACTACTATATCACCGGCATTCCTCAAAATATTGACAGCGTCATCGTGGTTGCACGCCGTGATATATTCTCCATTTACTAAAGAATCATAGGACATGGATTACATAATTTAATAAGTTTTCAACATTGTCATGAATAAAGAGCCATTTATGGCAGATCTATTTCAAATATAACGTGAAATAAAAACAAAGTCAACTTTTGTTTCAATAGGAAGGAACGAGCATTGGCAGGGGCAGAAGTTGAAATCGATACTCATTAATTGTACATGGCGCCGCTCAACTATCGTAAAACTGTCAACTGTCGTAATCGGTACAAATAATGGAGAACAAGTTTTAATAGACGATATAACTTTTAAATTGAAACAATTTGATTTAAGTAGAATTAGCTATTATTAGATAGCATTATTTATATTTTTCTAATTTTTATTAGAATTATAAAAAGAAATAACAAGTTAAATCGAAAAAAAATTATTATATATATTATAATTATCTAATCTAAATTAATCTACGTTGATAGTGGATATTAAATCTTTTATTCATTTCTTTCAACGTAGATTAATTTTAATTCCTATTTATTTATATTTTTCTTCTCCTAATTTATTCTTTTATTTCTCTACTCCTAATTTATTCTTTTACTAATTTTTAGAAGTAAAAAAAGATAAAAAGTAAGTTAAATCAAAATTAATGTTAATCTACATTGGGAGAAGTGAACATTTAGATTTGATACAACTTGTGTATTGAAAATTATTCGCAGTTTACCTTTAATAATCGCATCTCCCACAAAAAGCTGACCGCACTGATCGGCGGCCTGACCCTTATAAATTCTCGATATGAGTACTGGAAGCTTATGTTCCGCTCCACCCTTTATGCTCAGCCCCAAGCCACCGACCTTTTGCCTGGTGATTTGCACCATGCGCTCTTTAGCATCCAAAGGTGGCTTATTGTGATTCGCTGCCTGCTAAAATGTATTCTTGTCTTTGACACGTTCCATTGCGCCGATGATCGATAAAGTATCAGTGCCGGCGAAACGATTTCAACATCATTCATTCGGGAAATAGATAATAATACGATTATCGAAAAGCACTCTACCTCGAGATCCTCCCGTTGAAGCTTCAATACCTCCATAGACAAGTGCAAACGCATCGGCACGGGTTTGCTTTTCCCATCGCTAACCGTCACCATCCCCGTCCGCACCTGTCGAATAAAAAAAAAAGCAAATTGACAAAAATCATTCGCCGTAAAATTGCCATTTTATTCGCTCGAGATGTTTGGGGAAAATATAAAGCTAAATGGAAAGATACAAAGTAGCTTTATTAGATCGCGATAAATCATAAACTGACTTTCCACTTTTCGCAACAAACTTAATTTATCCGGCTTTATTAAAGTTTTGTTAAAAGTACATTTCCTCGGCGATTTTTATATCTGAAAACAATATGATAACTAGGAAATACCATCTTCCGCGTTTCATCTCGGCACTCGGAAAAAAGAAGCAATCTTTCTCGCAGCAGGAAATTGAAGTAAAGAAAGAGCAAGATAAAGACCCCGCGGGATTGCGAAGGGGACGGAATAAAAGTTATTTTAGAATTCTCACAGAGGCGATGCACTCGGTGCGGAAGTAGCTCGGAGATTAAAAGAGGAGACGCTGCCGTTACGCTGATAACAACACTAATGAACTTCTACGGCGATATCGATTGATCAAACCGGGCAAAGTCGCCGCACGGCCGACCATGCATTTATGCATGAGAACCCGGCAAGTATTTCGATAAATTCTTAATTGAATATCCGCTTTCGCGTTGGGCAGCGCGATCATCCCTAATTATTCCAAGAGGTATTATCGTTATTACGTTACCCTCCCCGTTCGTCGGATTTCCAATCCCTCTTCTCTCCCTCCCTCTCCCCCCCCCCCCCCTCCACCCCGCCCGCCACGTTTAACTCGCAAAACCGCAAAAATTAGGTCGGTTTAAATTAATTCATATTTGTCAATTTGTCAATTTGTCGGGCTCAGGAATGACCGCGCTGTCCTCGCAATCCGCGGATATCCAACGGGATTTCCTCCGCGTAACGACGACAGTCGTTGTATCTTTCAATTAATCGATCTCCCTTCCGCGAACGAAGGCCCTCTAAATTATTCGGCCGCGATCCAATTCCGGTCACATTTCTTTCCTCGACGATGATAACCTACGAGCGGCGAAAGGAAAAATAGCTAAATGATTAAGGAAGCTAACGTTCGCGGACTTCATAACGTAATGCCAGATTTCAACGAGCTATTTTTCATTTATTAAGTCCCTTGATCGATACATGATCGAATTTTCCGTGAAATGTGGTAATTGTCGATTTTATTTTTCTTTTACATTAAAAGCAGAATAATTATGAATAATGCACGCATTAATCAACGTGCATATTTTAAATTGGGGATTGGGAGGCGAGAAAAAAAAACGAAGTATAAAATCGTCGGCGGTGCTTCCGCTTTACGCGATTTCATTTCGCGGGAATATTAATATGCCATGCATATGAAAAGCCGATTTCATCGATATCCGTGAAAAAGGAGAAACTAGATTTGCGCTTCTGTGTTACGGCGCACGATTCGCTTGTGTCAAAGAAAATTGCACTGGGTCGATCGCAAATCTCCCCTGAAGGTACGTTAAATTCGTCCGATGTATATTAAGTGACAATCGGAAACGTGGCCGATAAACGGCAGAGTTTCGGGTCGTTAAATCGGTAAAACGGGACACGGTAAATCTATTTTAACGCAATTATTCGCGATATTTCTGGCGAGCGGACTCGCGGCGTATTCGTCGATTTATCATCGTTAACAATTCGTCCGTTCCAATTAATTCGACACTAATTAATTATTATTGAAACGCTGAAGCGTTCAGTGCAAACAAGTAACGTTTCGCCAAATAGAAATCAATTTCCAAATCCATTAAATGTGTTTTTCTAACACTGACTACGTATACAAAGATATTTTACTTTCTTTTTTTAAAGCAACCAGTTTACAAATTTATCCACTTTACTTTTTAAACGAACGTTTTAAATAATTGAAGATGTTTTTTTTTTTTAATCTTACTGCAATGTGTGTGTTCTCTCGCTGCGAGTTACGGCTCATTATCATTAATTTTGTACGAAATTAACAGCAAAGCAGAGTTCAATTCTAATCTCGACAGGAATTACGCGTTATCGATTTCGAACGTTTTCCAGGAAATTCACATTGCGCAGAATATTATCAAGAGTTTCGCAGTTCTCTCGCCGCGGCGAGCGTTTCCGTTCCGTTTAATAATCAATGACCGGAAAGCCCAGCGAAAATGATCGACGTGTCATTCGTGTCTTCCTTTCGTTTTTCGCACGGCGAAACATTCGTTACGGGAATCGCGAACTTTGACTATTGTCGCTCTCGCATAAAAGCCATCCATGGCAAAATCGCACAGTTTCCAGGAAAATGCTAGCAAACTCCGCAGCGCATCGAATGCAGTACTCGTTATACCGAATGTACCAATTTATAATTCGAAAATACATGACATTTCGCGTTATTAGCGCTTATTAGCGCGAAGGTAATTAAACGTCGCCGCATTACGACGTACGTGGATATTGATCTTTTTAACCGAGATATCGAATGGCAGACATCGAGCCGCCAATTTGGGGTATGCGGGAGCGTTTATCAGGGCAAATGATAAGGCTCGGTTTCTGCGAAGACATCAATTAGGCGCCATTCGACGTTTTCCAGGCCATAAAGCCCGGCGCATGAAAGTACCCCGGCGGCATTAAAGCGTCCAATTTCGACGCATAGGGGCGAACGTTCATTAAAATTAGCGAAGATTCGACCGATTCTCCCGCCGGGTTCCTTTCATTTATACATTCGCAGGAGGGGGGAATTCGCTTAAACTCCAGTTATCTTTAACTTTAATCGTTTATGGGAACGGCCCGCGGATCGATTCTACCAATATCGATCAGCGTCGAAGCCTATAATCAATCGCTGTATCTATGTATATATCGTAGTTGCCACAATTTAGAAGGATATTGGAGAAGGCGGGATTAATTCCGTGAAAGATTCCGCAGAAGCAGCGCGACGAAGTAACGCGCCGATGAAACTTTCCTCCCTATTTTCCGACGATCGGCGAAATTGCCCGTTAGTTCGTTGCCCGGGAGATTAACGACGTCAATACGTCGTGCGATCGGGAAACCGGGAAACATTTTGTGCACCTGTAGCGCCGTGAATTTCATCCGGGATGACCGGAACGGTTATCCGCGGGACGTCCACAAAATTCAGCGTCCAAAGTTTTATTCTTGGTCGTCCGCACCACGCGTTCCTCTATCCGATTAGCTTCTAAAAACATGACGAAACGTTAAAATCCATTTAGATTTGCATTTCGAATCGCGATGGACGTTTCCACGTGCGTGCAGATAGAAGAAAAGTCAATACAATAAAAGAGAATAATCTTTCAGTAGGCAATTTCGATATCTTCCTATTTTAATTTAGAAAATCCGGGATTGGATTAATTTTCATCTCGGTTCAATTTATTTCATTTTAATTTTAAAAAATTAGAGAAGACTAGAGAATAAATCGAATCAGGATTAATGTCAGATTAACTGTGATCTCGGCTTAATCTATTTCATTTCAGATTCTAAAAATTGAAAAAAAAAAAGAAAAGGATAGAGAAAGAAATTGAAAATCGAGATTAAAATTAATGTGAGGTAGAAATGTGCACTCTATAGTTTCGCTTTTTAGGCCGACTGATTTTCGTGCGAATGGTCGTCTCTCCCCTAATTATGGGAAATTCCAATGGTATTGCCTCATCAGTATGTATACGTGTGTCCGCACGGAGAGGACGTCGGTAATGAGAACGTCGCGAATTACGTGCAACGCGACCCGGCTAAATTGCACCACGGACTCGCGCACACAGCTCTTCTGACCTTTCATCCGCTTTTATCGTATACAAAAAACGCACAGGCCACCGCTCGCATACCGTATCTAGCGGTAAATGCCGTCGTGACTGTGACGTGCATTACGCGAATTGAATGAAAACGCGAACAAACGAAACCGAAAACGCGCGACGTGAGGCGAAAACAAGCGAGATAAAACAACGTTAAAATTTCTATGACCAATATATTACGGATTTCGCTGAGTTTTTTATGCATAAGAATATATAGAAATTAATATCTACATAACGCCGATTCCTATCGATGTTATGTTTAAGATTAAATTCAATCTCGATTTAACTTATTTTACTATCTTTCCTTTGTTCAATTATATAATTGGAAAAAGATAAGAGAAAATTAAGTCGAAACTAAAGTTAATCTATACTGGTAGAAATGGAAATGATTTTAATTTTATATCACTTTACAATTAGATAGTATTAAGAAACGGTTGTAGCTTAGTAAAGGAATGAAATTTAAAAGTTAGATGGACATTATTCGATTTTAATCGCTTGCTTTTTATCTTTTTTTTTAGTGTTAAGAATTAAAAAGAGATACAGAAAAAAATTAAACCGAAAGAGATTATAAAGTTAATCTACCTTGGTAAAAATGGACATAAAATTAAGTCACACTGTAATTAATGTTAAACTTAAATTAATATTAAATGACAGGTTGTAACGTAATGGCAAAGGGATAAAACTTAGAAATTAGATGATAGAAATTAGATGAACGCGATTCGATTCTAATCGCCAGGATATTAAGCGCTATCGATCGAGGGATCTCGCGGACCTGATCCTCGAGAGTTTCCAAGTTTCCAAGTTAATTCCGAGGGGAGCCCCGACTCAGACACGAGATTCGATACGTTGGGGCAATATACGAGGGGCATCCAGGAATATCCGGTGCACATCTGTGCCGCATAGCAAACGGCGATTCTCAGAGACGCTTCCCCGACCGAGGATTATGCACATGATACGTGCTGCATCCAAAGCATGCGGCTAAGTGCAAGGTGCGAGTACGGATGCATTATTGATCACCGAAAATCGGCGAACAAGAGAGAGAGAGAGAGAGAGAGAGAGAGAGAGAGAGAGAGAGAGAGAGAGAGAGAGAGAGAGAAGAGAGAGAGAGAGAGAGAGAGAGAGAGAGAGAGAGAGAG